GTAAGGGAAAGATTGTACTTACCAATAAGTGGTACTGCATCCGATGTTGGAGGCGTCATTTCAGCGACCATGCTTAGAAAGAATACTATAGCCAGCAGAATTGTCATTTCTAAAAACACCCAAATTGGTATCTCGATAGGGTGTGGTTTATGACAATCGTTCTACAGATGCAGCCTAATAGCTTCGTTTTAAAAGCTAGTATGAAACTAGAAGCCGAATTAAATTACCGTCGAACTGGTGCAAACTTATATTCAGAGAGGTACTTTAGGGGTTTCAACGTGCTCAAGGGAATAAACAGAAAATAAACGCGAAAAGTGGCCTAATCGGATGTTATACGCATTTGCTTGTCATGTGGAATCCGAGATTCGTCCTAAGACATGCTTGAAGTATGGGCGTGAATTTTTACTATCTCACCTCCATTTTTTTAATTAGAAGATGTGCACACGGCGCATTCTTAACCGGCATTTCGTATTAATTGGGCAAGGGACCTTGGAACGAAGGGAAATGATACTCCCCTACTCTTTTTTTTAGCAAATCAATAATGTTTAACCGATGAAAAACGTACCAAGAGTGATCTTCTCGCCAGCATCTGGAGGTAAAGAAAAGCCGAGCACAGTCATGAAACAGATCAGAAGTGATGGGATGATAAGGTTGAAACCTAAAAGCCTTTTCATGCACAGGACCGAAATATCGTCCTTGTTGTTTATCTATATTTATATCTATAATATTTACATCGTTGTTTCCCCCCCTCCCCACTGGCCTACACCATTGATTGTTGTCAGTCAGCGCGATAGCTTGACGAAATGAGTTCCTGAAGGAGGTGTCAAGTAATGGAGGGTAGCTGCGCTCCTCCTTAGGTGCTGTCTGAAGATCCGATTGAGGATGGGACGTGCAGGCTTTCCACGCTTATTGAATGCTCAAGACTAGGTCTTTTATGGGATGCTTTCCCAGCAACATTCGACTTCTACACCGCAGTGCGATTTTGAATTTGTTCGTAGATGTCCTATGCAGTGGCAAGGAGTGGTGTAAAAAGTAGTGTTTCATTCTCCCAGACCTGATATTATGTATCAAACGGGCTCAAAGGGAAGGAAAGGTTATTTGATTCGACCGAGTATCAATCATGAGTTCGATCCCTCTACTATCCGTGGGAAAGTGCGCCATTTGCCACTATACAACCTTTGCGTGAACCTTACAAAATGATGGGATTTATTTGAGATAGCGAAATAGTGGTTTTAACATTTGCTTAGTTCTTAAGTTCGTTGCCAAAACTTGTGCACTCAAAAGCCTACAATTCTGGATAGGAGTTCTAAGCGTGGAGCATTCTGACAAATTTCTGCTGAAGGCTGCATGAATTGCATGGATTTTTTTCAATTGTATTTCATAACGAACTTGAAGTTCTCGAATTATATCATGCAAAAGCCGATTATGTGTCCAAGTGTGATGCGCCGTCCTGAATCACACGCGCGCGGCTGCGAGGCAGTGGGTGGTTAATGCAGCACTGCTCTCTCCATTCGTCTCATTCTTATAGTTCTAGTTGATTACTTTTTCAAATCAATTAAGAATAAAGTAAACAGGGATTTCAGCACTCTTCTACTCTGACAGTTCCTGGGTACGTGTATGCATTGCAACTTCCATTCAGTGCTGCATTGACACAGAATACCCTATTAGAATCTTGAAGCTATCAGGTGAAGGGTGAAAAGCTCGAGGCGGGTACATATATCTGGGAGTCGGTCTACATACCATGTGTATGGTAACGGCGCTACCTGACATTACTCCAGTACCTATTTCTGTGACATTACTCAAAATTTCAACAAACACCATATGATCGCAATATGAGCGTAATAGCTTTGTATCCCAATAGGCTTATGCAGAATATTCGAATCGTTTTCAAAATCCCACATTTCTCAAATTGTTCTTTTTTACTCAGTTAATTTTACTTTTCCCGATAGACTCTTCAAGGAATTAATTGGGTGCGGGTAAGAATGTGGTGAAACCTGGTTAACCTACAGTGTGTTTCATAAGTATAGGATCACCGTTAAAGGCACAGTTCACGATAATCTTGAGTAATCCAGATTATGATGAAAAATGGAAGATAAGATCGAAACTAGTGCGACTGATGTGAAGAAACTGCGTGCATTGGTGTTTCCAAAGTGAAAAAAGGCTTCGAAAAACCGTTAAAAAGGGGGCTGGACGAGAATGAAACCAGAAAAATGAAGAAGAGCGGGGCGCCCGGACGAACTAAACAGTGTGTTCCACTGCGCGCGTGTGGGTCCTGGTGCGAATAACAGGCAATGATAAGCAAAAATTCACTTAAAGCACAAATAAACAAAAAAAAAACCTAGTAACAGAAAAAGTAGCTCACCTTCTTCAGCCTCTAGGAGTAGGAAATTAAATGAGGGATGGCAGCAGCAAAAAGAAAAACAGAGGGAAAAGAAAGGGAGAAAAACATCGACTCTTCACTCGGCGATTAGCTGATTGTGTGTGGGGCCTAGAACGAATAATAGCAATCCGTATTGTCTCGACACTCGTCTAACGTGAAACCGATCGGAGGGCGGGAAAGCGAACTACGGCAGGAACGGGGCTTCCACTATGCCCTAAGCGCCGAGATTGTGGGAGCAAGAGGGTCCCTTCTACCACCCATGGGGACGCTGAGTATTCCTAAAAGAAGAACTCATTGTCAGTAACCTTTTTTATCGTGAACCGTGCCTTTAAATTAGGTGTTTACATGAAAAGCAGCCAAGCAGATTGATAAGTTTTGTGCACTACTATCAGATTCACCACCTTGATAACCCCCACGCACGAACATTTTTTGAATCAACTTCTACCATAACATTTACATTAATAATTTTTGAGTTTTGCGCCGTCTCGTAAGTATAATAAATCACTTTAAGAATTTGAAAAAATTATCATTAGTAACGACAGAAAACATTTAGTAGTCGATGGGTTTTCCTTGTTCTAACCCAATATCGAATAGATTACATGGCCTACCAAAAACACGGTTTCGAAAGACCTCGCCATAGATTTCATTCCAAGATCCAAGTACTACCTACTTGAGCTCTTCTATCGCCTCGGACTGACAGTTGATCGCATAAACCTTTTCTACAATGATGCCCCACAGATTCTTCATCGGGTTCACATCGAGGCTGTCCATGTCAGAACTTCGAAATTTTGGGAAAGGAACCAGTCTTTCGTGGAATAACTAACGTGGAACTCAGCACTGTTCTATTGAAAAACGTAGTTAGGACCACGTCGCTGGCTCGGAAATGGAACCAGGTGCCATTGCAAGACTTCCTGAAGTCCTTAAATTCCATTTTGAAGGTCACGAGAGCAAGCTCCACCCCGACATCTTTGCAGAAAGCACCCTGTACCATGACACTTCCTCCTCCAAAATTGCCACGATTAGAGTTGGTCGGCTCTTTTCGTGAGTCTTGCCAGTAGCAGTTGTAACTATCGGAGCCTTCCAAATTAACTTTCTTCGAATCGAAATATACGACCTGAACCCTAATATTGGGCCGTATGGTTAATCGGTAATATGGGCTGGTTCTCGTTCAATCTCATTTCAAAATCAACTTCGCAAATTCAAGTCGTGCCTTCCTGTGGTGGTCAGTAGACCTCGTAGCCCTCTTCATTGCTGCCCTGACAATGCTGCTGCTCTTTTTCACGACTCTCCATTCAGTAGTTTTAGACAACGAGAGACCCAACTCTGATGGAACGTGGTTCAGGTTTTGTCCGAAACAGTTCTTAGCATTCTGTTTCCGTCGTTCGCGGTTAGCCTGCGCGGGTATCCTGTCTTCATGGGGGCTCTGAAGCCTTCAAATATCTTTGAACGGAGCTGAGGAAAGGATCTCACGATTCTCCCCCTAATTGTCCTCGTAGTGAACCTTGTATCACGGAAATTTCGATTTTGTGCTCTTTCTTCTAAAGAAAGATGACCTCTGCTAGGCAAAGTGCGTATTGTTTCCAAACATACTTGCGAAACATTCTCTCCTATAAAGATCCCTCCAAGTGTAAATTCTGCTGCACTAGATTTCGAAACTTCGCGCGGTCGACAGTGATCCTATAGTTATGAGACGGCAAAACAAATCGAAAATTATCTTTATAATGTTAATGAAAGTTGAGCATGCCAAAGCAGGTACATACATATATGAGTGTTATTGAAGGGATGAATCTAATGGTGGTGCGGTACCGAATTCGAGGGTGATCTTATCACATGAAAAAATTACCGTAGTATAGAGTACGTCGTCGAATATGTAGGAAATACTTGACTGTAGGATAAGGCTCCGGACAGCATTTATAATACTTGACTTCGCGTATTGCTGGTGAACTTACCAAATCCCATTCACCATTAATTACATACGTTGAAATATCCATGGAATGACCTGAAGAGAGGGGAAGTTTCAGCATAATGGGCGGGACATATAACCTGAACGTACTGCTGTTTGTATTCTCCGTTTCGATTTGTAAATCAAGAGCATACCCATGAAAAGTCCATGAGCCAAATTTCATTTCACAAATTTGATCATCAAATGGAAACCTGAATAAAGACAATGAGAAATGAGTGAATACAGTAGATTTCGTAGATTTTTTCTTCCGATGCGTTATGAATTTGATCCTTCCAAGATATGTTGAGATGTTGAATGGGGAAGTATCAGAAAGCTGTTGGCGTGTTGTAGTGGTTAGTTTGGACGAACAGATCCAGAAGTATTGAAGTATCCTGGATCCAACTATCGATTACAAAGTAAGAAACTAACCATGTAACATCTAGTTTACAGACGAATTTCAGTACTCCAGGCGGAATCCAGTTGACATCACCAGATGAGTATACCAGTAGATTACTTTTATACGTCGAATCAAAATCTTCAGCAGCACTGAAATGAAGAAAGATATGAAATATATTTTGTTTTGAACGATAAACAAAGGTTTTCGGCCAAAACTCTGGATTTTTTCATCGAAATGTAGATAAAAATTATTACGTTATGTTTATCAAGTAATATTTGAGAAATCGTGGCTCCCGCTCAAAAGTATCCCAGCTCGATAACATGAGGTTCGAAACTGAATTTAGGCACGACTAGAAGCCTATCATCTCGGTGTAGGGATAATTAATTGAAGGCACGGTTCACGATAAAAGAAGGCTACTGAATTCTTCCTTCAGGAATATTCAGCGCCCTCCATGGGTGGTAGAAGGGACCCTCTTGCTCCACAATCTCGACGCTTAAGGCATAGTGGAAACCCTGTTCTGCCGCGATTGGCTTTCCCGCCCCTCGATCGATGTCACGTTAGACCAGTGCGAGACAGTACAGATTGCAACTATTCTTTCTAGGACCCACACACAACCAGCTGATAGCCGAGTGATGAGGCGATGTTATTCTCTCATTCTTTTCCCTCTGTTTTTCTTTTTGCTGCCGCGATCCCACATTTAATTTCCTACTCCTAGAGGCTGAAGAAGGTGAGCTACTTTTGTTGTTACTGGGGTTTTTTGCTCTATTATGCTTATAAGTGAATGAACTTCTGCTTACCGCAGTTTATTATTCGCACCAGGACCCACAAGTACTCAGTGAGACACATGTATATCTCTTCCAAACGCCCCACTCTCCTTCAGTTTTCTGGTCTCATTCTCCTTCAGCCCCTCTTTAACGGTTTTCAAAGCCTTTTTTCACTTCGGAATCACCAATCCAGGCAGTTTCTTCACCTTCATCGCAATATTTCCGATCCTGTCTTCCATTTTTCATCATGGATTACCCAGAATTCTCGTGAACTGTGCTTTTAAACGTTCATTCTGAATCTTCCTCTTTTCATATACGTTCTGCACTCAACGTTCATTTTCTTTATTAGCGATTGAATGGATATTTGGTCATTACAGTGACTTTACAGACGATTTCACTATCCAAACCAATGTTTTCCCAGGCGCCCGTGTTTCCCATTGACGTTCCCCCATCCCTCCTTCCGTTGTAGTAGAATTTGTAGGGCGATGTTACCATCTCTGAATTGTATCGGAGGCCATAACTCTGATACCAACCGCTTCACCACGTTTCTTCTTAATCGAGATGGACCTATTTTGCGAAAATGGCGAAAATGAAGTGAATTCCGTCAAAAGAACTTTTATAATAGAAGGATCAACTCAAACGGAACTGGGTTCTTGTGCCAAATGACTTTCTTGAGAACTAGAACTACCGTTAAAGAGTATGAAAGGGGGCGGCGGAGCGAGAAAATAAAATAGAAAATAAATGAGTAGTATAAAACGACTCAGGCTATTATGTGCTATCACCCACCTGTTATATAGTAGAATGTCAGGTTTCCAGATATGATCGGCCGATCCGGGAAATCGAACATTCTGGATACCGTCGTATTTGGCTGGATCCCATGTCAATTTGTAATCTTGCCAACTCTGGAAATCGTAATAAACAGATGATTTGATAGCGGAAAAGGCCAAGTAAGTTCTGTGCAGCTTTGCTTTTGGCAGTTTCGGTTTTGTTTGTTTATTCGAAGAAATTGATTCTGTAAAGAGAACGAAGGGGTCGTATCGAATAAGGTTTTAGTGAGTGAATTTTTGTAAAAAGTTTCTCAAAATATTCGCTTGACGGTCTGTCTCCCTAATTTCTCCCAAAAAAGACCTTTCGGATTTGGGATATGTGCTCGAGTAGCTCATATTTTGGAACAGCATTCAAGAATTCGTGGGGAACCCCTACTCACATAGCTCAACCAGGCGTTCACTGAGATGAGTTGATTCTTTTCGTCCACGTCGAGGATCTGCTGCAAAAACATCTTGATTTTCACGACCAGCGGCTGCGAAGCGTTCTCCACTGGCCGTTCCAAAGGATTGTAACCTGAAATCTGAAGATTCCGATGGCTTTATCATTGTTTATCTTGGAAATATAATTGTCAGTAAGCAGTAGACTTTTCGATTCCTAGTCAAATCACTTCAAGGACAGAACCGCGGTAATTGACGTGACTTTATAAGATAAGCCTTGATTTTTGCGATTGACAGAGGAATCGTTGCAAATAATTGTCACAATGAGCATTACTCCACTAGAACGCGGAAAAAAGCCCACCATTAAGTAGTTCATTGTAGAGACGAGTCTCGGCGAGGCTTGCCGAAGTTCCGACGAATATGGCTCCGACGATCAACGCTAAAAATGCGTGCACCATAGGTGGTAGGGGTCTCGGGAGCTTTCAGCCCGTTGCGAACTCTCAAGCAGCGACATGGACAAACAAATGTCGTGTAGACCGTTGAAGAATCGGCTCATCCACTTGAAATGTTCGATTCACTGGGATATCCCGTCACACTGACGGACTATCCTATGGCAGCTCGCGGTTAGACGGTGACTTGGAAATTCACAGATAGGGGTATACATACTGGGAGATAGCCTCCGGTTTAAGTACACACTTTCGTTTTGACCTCAGATGGGATTCCTTTCCAGAATGAAAGGAGGGGATCACGTTCACCTGCTACCACTGTCAGTTACGAGATATAATCATCATTTATGTTTACAAATTCTATTCAACTGTTTTCGTTCCTCAAACTTCTTGATAATATCTTGAAGTCTTAGAAGCTAACACATGATAAATCCAAATATTTTCCACCAATTTCGAGAGACTAGCCTATGAATTTCATATGAAGAAATATACGTTAGGGTTTCGTCAGAATACATAGGAACTACAGGATGCATTTTCACTTAAGCTATTGAGCAGGACTTCTCGCTGCGCCAGCATTTGGTGGTGCATATGTGGCGTAGGATACTAACTTTCGAGCTAAATACAGTAATGCCATCCTACTAACCACTGAAGAACCGTTTCACAGCAACTGCAGTAAGTTCATGGCCGCTTCTCTACGCTTTATACGTTCACGATGAAAATCCCCTTAATGATTCCTTTCAGAACTTGCCTATCGAATTGGGAAATCGGATTCGGGGTAATCCTCCTAGACCTGCACTCATTATGAGGCCTATCACAGCCTATCTTCGACATGGCAAACTTTCTTCGCCAAAATCTCTATTCTTTTTTATTGTTTCAAATATAATGTATATTCTCAATGTAAAAGTAATATATAAAAATATATTCAATATAATATACGCAAAGGAACCAACCATGCTTGCGTCCTCAATATAAAAGTAGTGATGAAAGAATTTCATCAGGTTTAGAGCTGCGTTCGACTTTAACCCTGATGAAGTCTTCCTATCACCTAGATCTCGAAAACCAAAGCTATCTTATAGAAACCTATGGAATAATATACAATAAATATAAACGGGGCTCTTCCATGATTTCAGTTTCCATTCGAAGGTTGAGGAGTTTGTTTTCCGCAGATGTCGTCGGGCGGCACAAAACCACAAAGATGAAATTAACTAATCCCTCTTTCTTCTTTCAGAAAGATTGGAACTTAGAAAGAAGGAACGGAAATGTGGGAAAAAAAATTTATGAAAAGGGTGAAGAACTATATGTTACTCCCGACCCACGCACAGACCAGATGTGAAGATTTCGACGATAAGAATAGGTTTGGATTCGTTTCTAACAAGTATGATAACTATAGTGCGAAAGAATTGGTCAACATCCTCAACGAAAGTTAAACACGTGGGTCGCTCTGTACAGAAGTTTGGCTTTCTTCTCCATTCACGTCTTCCATTCAGCTACTTATCGTTGATTCGATCCTAGAGATGATTCTCAGGATAGACTGCCGTCACCGCACTAGTCACCATCGATTAGTGAACTGTTGCCCATTTTACTTTCTCCCTCTTGACCTTTTTCTTTCCCTTTAGAATTTTTCCTACAAATCGGAGCTGTTCAGCGTACTGAAATATCATATTTTGTTTCTTTTCTACTGTACTTTACGAGGATCTGTTTCTTTTTTGTATTGCGTATTTTGTTTCTTTTCTACTGTACTTTACGAGAATCTGTTTCTTTTTTGTATTGCCATCTCAGAAGTGTGTTGA